CATAGAGAATTTGGACCTGTATGTGATATAACTTGATTCTTTTTTCCCATTCCCCTCCCCTCCCTTGAATCCCTTCTCCCCCTTATTTACAAAAGCTTTGTTTCCATTTTTTCCTTCTTTTCTCATTTTTTTCTTTTCCCTTCCTTCCTTCCCCACCCCAGTTCCCATTCCCATTTTTACATTTTCTTCCTGCCGGGCGTGGTGGCACACGCCTGTAATCCCAGCACTCGGGAGGCTGAGGCAGAAGGGTCACTGTGAGTTCGAGACCAGCCGGGGCTACAAAGTGAGCTTCAGGCCAGCTGAACTACGTAGCAAGAGCCTGTCTCAAAAAGACAAAAAAAAATTGTTCTTATATTTTTTTCCTATTTCCAATATCTATTAAACATTTTGGTCCTTATTTACATTTTCAGTTTCTCACATCTCACAGAGAAACAATGCAATATTTACACATATGTCTCCAGTTTTTTTCACTATGGTCACAAAGTGCATCCATTCACCTAAAAAATGTCTCAAGTTTGTCCTTCTTTATGGCTGAGTAGTACTCTATTGTGTAAAAGAACACATCTTCTTTACCCATTCGTTGGTTGATGGGCATTTGGGTTGTTTCCAAGGTTTAGCTATTACAAACTGTGCTGCTATAAACATGGGTGTGCATTTATTGCTCTGGTATGATGCTTTTAATTCTTTCAGGAAAATACCAAGAAAGGGAATAGTTGGATCAAATGGAAACTCTAATCCTACTTTTTTGAGGAATCTCCACACTGATTTCCATGTGGTTGCACCAGTCTACACTTCCACCAACAGTGGAGAAGGATTCCTTTTTCCCCACAGCCCTGCCAACATTTGTTATGGGTTGATTTCTTGATAATAGCCATTCTTTCTGGGGTGAGATGGAATCTCAGCATTGTTTTAATTTGCATCTGTCCAATGACCAGTGATGTTGAACATATATTTATTAGCAGTTTCTACTTCTTCATCTGAGAAGTGCCTATTCATTTTAGATGCCCAGTTTTGGATTGTGACTTTAAATTTGGGCAGTCTGATTTGTTTCAGTTCTTCATATATTCTAGATAGTAGTCCTTTGTCTGAAGAACAGCTGACAAAAAATTTTCCCCACACTGTGGGTTGTCTTTTCACTCTTGGTGATTTTTCTTGCTGTACAAAAGCTTTTTCATAAGATGAGATTCCAGTTGTTCATTCTTTGAGGTGTTCGTATGTGTTCATATTTCCTGTGCAACTGATGTTTAGTTCACAGTCTTTACCTACACCAATGTCGTCAAGAGCTTGTAGATGATATGTTAGATCTAAGCTGTAACATTTCACACCTAGACCCAAAGGCTCATATCCATCTCACAGGACAAAGTGCATTGAGTCCTTCTCCAAGAATCACCAAAGTCTTCACGATTGCAGCATTGCTCAAAAGTCCAAGTCCAAAGTCCCCTCTGAGACTCAAGATGAGTCTTAGCTTTGAGCTCTTATAAAACTGAGGAAAAATGTTGTATACTTTCAACATACATAGAGTAAACATTCCTATTCCAGAAGGGAGAAGTAGAGAGCTAGAAAGGAAAGACCACACCAAAGCAAAACCAAAACTCAGCAGGATAAATATTAAATCCTGAAGATCCCTGTCTGGCACCCAAGGCACACTGTTGAGATGTGAGCTCAAAAGGGTTCAGGCAGCCCCACTCCAGTGGCCTTGCCAGTTACAGCCCACATGGCTGCTCTCTTAGGCTAGCTCTGCTCACCACCTGCAGCTTTCCTGGGCAAACATTCCACATTCCTGGCATCTGTAACTTCCTATGGTCTCCACTGCAACTTTGGCTTTCCTCTTCACAGCTGCATGGATTGTCCTATCACTTTCTCTAAGGTCTCTGACCCTGTCACACACTGCCTGGCCTCACAGGCCTTTTTAAAAAATCTAGGTGGAAGCCCTAATGACCCTAAAATTCTTATATTCTGCATGGCTATAATACCAGCAACACCAAAGTCTGCCACCAGCTTGAGCAGTAGCCAGGCCCCCTTGAGTCATGGTGGTGGTGACTGCTGGATGGCTGAGCACAATGAAACCAATCCCGGATAAATAACTTCCTAGGCAGGCCTGTGCAAGCGTGGTGCCCAGGCACTATTTCCTCAAAGCAAAGTCTTTAAAAGAGGGCCAAGGCTTCTATCTGGATATCTGCCTCATCAAAGCCTTGTACACTCACATGAGGGGCTTTTGGGAAGTGATTATTAGATCATGAGTGTGTGATACTGGATTAGTTCACCAGTGAGCTGATAGCTGTGTGTGATGTTGGCAAGTGAAGCCAGATGGAAAAGGGCATGGATGTGGCCTGGACTGGTATATAGCTCTTCACCTCCCTGATCATGTGCTGCTTCCTGCCTGCCCTGCCATGGACTGTTTCTCCTCTGCGATGCCCCTCTGCATGCTGCCCTGCCTTGGAACCAATTGACTATAGACTGAAAGCTCTGCAAACTGTGAGCTAAAATACATCTTTCCTTCTTTAATGTGTGGGTATCAGTTATTGTCTTGTCCCAACAACAAGTAGCTATGACAAGGAGTTCCCACTTTAATACCATGGGGCCCACAACAAGTGGAGCCTGGCCAGTTCCTGAGATGCCCTCAGAGCATCTTTCTGATTGCCCAGGTGCAAAGTACTTGATTTCTTTTTAATAGCATGAGTCTCCTCAGCAACAAAGCCTTCCCTAACCTGTGCTTTACAGGAGATCTATTTCTGGTGAAACAGCAATATTTCAATTCCTTCTCTGCTTTTTGTTCCAGTTCTTATTCTAAATCTGGCTAAAAGCATACGGCCTGAATGCTTATGGCATTGAAATTTCCTCCACTAGATAAACTAGCCATCTGTCACCTTAAACTCAGCCTCACATAGCCTCAGACATGAACAAAGCATAGACACATTCTTTACCAGGTTGTAACACACATGACCTCTCAGCAAATCCTACTAGTGTCCTCATTGCTATCTGAAACCTCCTGAGCCTGGTCTTTACTGTCTGCATTCCAATCATCATTCTGGTCTTCCAGGATCTGACCAGAACTGCTATTAAGCTCCTCTTACAGAATTCTGGATCTTCTCATCCTGAGTCTATAACCTTTTCTATGCCCCTCCTGCAGCCCAATTCCAAAGGTTCCTTCACCACATTGTCAGGTACAGTCATAGCAGTGACCCCATTAACAGTGTCTGTGTTAGTCAGTTTTCTGTTACTGTGACAAAACATCTGAGGAAATAAACGGGAAGGTAAAAGGCTTATTTCATCTCCTGGATTCAGATGTTTCAGGCCATGGTCACTAGGCTCCATTGTTTCTCAGCTTGTGTGAGGCAGACATCATAGCATGGAGGACATGGTGAGCTGTCCCTGGGGCTCACGATAAAGACATGGCTCCCAGCTGGTGGTACTGCTGGGAGAGGTGAGGCTTTTAAGAGATGAGGTCTCGTTAGAGGAAGTGGGTCACTGGGGTCATAACTTCAAAGGTTATATGCGCCCCCCCCCCGCCCCGCTTCTTTCTCTCCTCCTCTGTTTACTGGCCACTATGAGGTAGCAGCTTTCTCCACCACGCCTTCTGCCATAGCATTCTGCCTCAGCACTGGCCTGAAAGCAACACAGCCAAGTGACCATGACTGAAACCAGGGCCCAAAATAAATATGTCCCCTCTTAAATTGACTTTCCCAGGTATTTTGTCATCATGACAGAAAGCTAACACAGAAAACTAACACAGAAAAAGAAGATCTAGCCTAAAGGACAAAGACCTAGGAATCCCCATGTTAAGTCCACATATGCCATGGAGCCTTTATGTTCCAGTTCTGTACCCCCATTCTCAACTCTTCCTGGTACCTCAGGCAGAGCATGGGTCCAGGCTGCCCCCCTCTTGTGTAGAGAAAGGAACAGTGTCCTCATCTGGCTGCTACATCCACAGACCTAGCTCTGATCCTCTTCACCTTAATCCTCACCCACTTTCAGAGGCACCTGGCACCCCCACTCCTGAGAAGAAAGACTCGATGTATAAATCATCCTGCTTCAGCTTTTCTGGGTGACAGCTTATGCAGCAGTGTGAAGTTCTGTGGATTCATTTTCCCACAATGCGCCTGCTCTCCAGTGGCCCAGATCTGTTGCTGCCACGGTGCTGATGTCTTTGGAAATGGCCCCTCCGCTCGTGTAAGGAGCACTAGGAGAGAGGATCCCTTTATGCTCTTCCCACCGTGCTCGTCCTCAGCTGCTTGATGAGCACACTCAGGTCCAGAGGAGCCAGGTGTGAGGGAGCAAGAGGTCTAAGAGGGGGCTCTACGCCTTCCGCTGATGCCCTTGACCTGACCCACCTTGGCAGACTGGGTCAGGTCCATGGTACAGAGCAGGCTGGGCACTGCCCAGTGGGAGTGTGCTGTACGCCTGATGCTGTTCTAATGCCTTTGTCAATCTGTTTAACCATCTCTGTGGCTTTATAAAAGGGTCGTTATTATCCTTTCATTTCACAAAGGAGGAAAGGGATGCACAGGGAGGCTATAAGTTATCTGAAGTCACACAGCTAGAAAGTAGTATAGGCTCTAGGCTATAAACCTAGACCAGGCTTTCTCAACCCTGGCACTGCTGATGCTTCAGACTGGGTGTCTGTTATGTGGGGTGTCTACTTCATCCCTGGCCTGCATCCAGTAGAGGTCTGCACCCTCCTCCAGGTGTGACAGTCAAATTTGTCTGCAGACACAGCCAAACCTCCCTGCAAGACCCCAATGTCTCGGCTGAGGACGATGAACCAGGCGCTTGGCGACACTACCTCTTGGCCTCAGGAAGGTCCCCAGGCCCCTTCCCTCGGGCTGGAACTGGACGACAAGGCACCGACCCCTGGCCTTGGCAGGTCCAGCTCCTCCTCCCCGCCCCTCCTCTCCACAGCCCCCGATCGCCCACCATCCTATGCACGGATCTGTCTGGGTGGCCGCGGCGCCCTCGGGGAGATCTCACCTAACGTCGTGTCTCTCCCCACCTCCCCGCAGAGCCAAGGTGAAGAAGGGGGTGAACATCCTGAGCGCTCGGACCAGCGAGCCAAGGCTGTGGGACGTGAAGCAGGAGGTGGGCAATGGTGGGAAGCACGCCACAACCACGGTGGCCTGCCAGCGCCTGGGCCTGGGCGCACGCAACAGGTAAGCGGCTCCAGCACCTCCTCGGGCACCGGTCGTGCGTCCCGGGCCTGTGCCCAAATCCTGCCTCGAAGCCCTGCTCAGCCTTGCCCCTCCCACTGCTGGCAGAGCTATTGATGAGCTCAGGTGAGTCCCCCGGAGGTGGCCAGCGGGACTGCAGCACTGTCCCCCTGCACAGCCCGCAGCTCTGCCCAGGTTTCTCCCGGGTGCGATCTGCTGTGGGGGCAGGGTGATGTCACCCCACTGCGCCTGGGCTGACGCCTCTGTCCCCCAACTCTTCCTCTCAGGCTGTCCCTCTCTGGTGAGTCAAAGACACTTTGTCACGAGCTGCTGGTTTCTATACAAGAGTCAGGTCCGTCTCTTGTGAGAAGAAATTTGAAGACAGGTGCTGACAGTAGGCAGTGATGATAAAAATAAGGCGTGCTGCATGAGCTTCTCCTTGGGCTTCGTGGACTGTCATTTAAAATCCTGGTGTCCCGGTTGTACAAGCACATGTGTCTGGGAAACTCAGTTTCATGAGACAAAGAGAAGCACATACCAGCTCCTTCTTCCCCAGGATATTCCACGGGCAACAGGCTGGCTGTTCCCTTCCAGTGTGGCACACGTATCTAACCTCTGTGTGTGCAGGAGGTACATCAGGTTTACCTTGCAAACGGGGACTCGTAACAGACAGATGGATTGTAAGATGTCCTCGTTTTCATATTTCCACTTATACTGGCAATGTTTCCTCTTCTCTATCAGCGTTACTTAAAAACAGTGTGAATGCCCACACCAAGGTCCACCCTGTGCACAGGATGTAATGGGATATGTGGTATTTCTGAGCGTTAAGGCTGCTCCCATGTTCCGGGCTTATACATGATGTGGGGCGTGACACTGCCCTCCTCAGAAATCTTTCTCCACTTCACTTGGAAAAAGAAAATGAAAGCAGCCTTTCTTTATAGCAAATATTATGTCTAATTCTGTTGTGGTGATAGAAGGATTTTCTTTGCTTATTACGCAAATCCACCTGGAAATGATACTGGGACGTGGGACTTTCTGGCCAGGCAGTAACAGAGATGAAAAGCAAGCCTGGAAGAGCAAGTGGACTCCAATCGAGCACTGTGGGGGAGGGGGTGACCTCCGGGGTGACAGGCAGAAAGCACTGCCTGGCCCCTTAACATAGCAAAGGCCAGCTGCCCAGAGGTTGATGGGTTGGGGCAGGGTCTGGTTGATCATAATCTCCTCTCCAGTGCTACAAAGTGGCTGCAGTGAAGTCCTTATTGTGGGGAGGTGGTGACAACCCAGTTCCCCTGAGACCACTGCTCCCGAATGGCTGGGAGAGGGACAGCCCCGCTCCTGACTCGGGAAATTTGCTTCCACTGGGGGATGATGTCATCGTGGGGTGATCTGTCCTCGGGCTCTGCTGTTCCTGGAATCCAGGGAGCGGCAGGTTTGGGGCAGTGACAAGAGAGGACGGGGCTCCGCTCCAGGGCTCTGCAGTGAGACATCACAGAGACTGCCGCTGGGCGTCTCTGAGTCCTGGAAGTAACTGAGCTATTCTTATCTTGGTGACCTCAGACTTGCAGGGAGAAGAGCCAGGTGAGGGCTCAAGGGCTTGGGTGCTTGCCCGTCCTTTCCCGTACCAGACCAGGGATCAGACCTCAGGATTCTTCGTCTTCTGGCCCAAGGTTTCCCCTCTGTGTCTCAGCACCATCACCCTGAGCTGTGCGTCCCTTCTCAGCTGGGCTAACGGTGGCCTCCCATGAAGAGAGCCTCTTGCACCTTGGCTCAGGTTTAAATATTTCCAGAATACACATTCAGATTGGCATTCGGTGTTTTCTAAATGGAATAAAGCCTGTTCACTCCGTGTGTTAGTTTGGATACGATTCCTTAGTGAGGACAGGAAAATAATTTGCAAGCTGAATGACACAGCATTTCCTTATTATAAAAACTAGCTGTAAACCTCTAAATTTAGTATCCTCGCCATCGCTCTGAAACCTTCAAATTGTGAATAGCTTAATAAAACATAGACCCACAAAAACTGACAAGGGCATTTTCTCCTTAGTTGTTGAATTTCACAAGTTAAGTGAAATTCAGGATGATCTAAAACCAATAAGGCTGGTGCTTTCTAGGGTCTATGTTTCTTTCCAGTGTTGAGTAATAGCTATGAACTTCTCGTACGGATGGGGCTCCGTACGAGAGCCGTACGTGTAATGTTTTAATATATGCTATAGTTCCCGTGGTTGGATTCTTAAAATCAAAACGCATGATCATTTTTAAGGCTCTGGATACATTCTGTCATTGTGTGCTCCTGGTGCGATTAGGGCCGAGGGAAGAAATGATCGGCTGTTGGACACACTGTCTTAAGTGAATGTTGCAAAGCTGCCCTAAAGCAAGAGGAAGGAAGGAAGGAGGGAAGGAAGGGAAAAATCTTCTACCTCTCCACTTTGTTTGTAAACACCCTTGTTCTGTTAGCCACTGGGGCCCCTGGCAGGTGTTGTGCTTTAGATCTGAGTGTCCCCAAAAGCCTGATGTGTTTGGTGGTGATTGGATCACAGGGACGCCATACTGAACGCGCTGAACAAGCAGTTAGGAGGTGGGGCCTGGCTGGAGGTGGTCTCTGGAGTGTGAGTTTGAAGGGTGCATTCCTATTCCCACCTCCTCCCTGCTGTCTGCTTCCTGACCACCGTGAGGTGAGCGGCCTTCCTCCGCCACAGCCTCCTACCTAGCTATTTCTGTCCTGGAGCGGGCTAACTATGACTGAATTCTCTAAGTATCCTGAGCACAAACCAGCCTGTCCCCCTTTAAACTGTGGGTGTCAGGTATTTTAACCCACCAGAGAAAGTAGCTAAGTTAGCCAGACTCGCTGAGGGTGAAACCAGGAAAAGCACTTGGCATCCTGGACAATTTCAGATCGCAGCACCTGCTGTCCCCTTCGTGACCCCAAGGAGGAGTTTTAGTACATCTGGGGGTGCAATCAGTCAGGAGGTGGTCACAAGGCCTCTGGCCAGGTGAAAACTTGACCAGAAGGATTGTGTGCCTGCCGGGTCCCTTATACACGGGAGTTTAGAGGCCAGATTCAACCTCCTGAACATCGACTGTGCATAAAGTCTAATTAGCCCACAAGATTAGTGCTGATTACACAAATGAAAGCAAACCTGTTAATTAGCAGGCAGTGAGCCTGTGTATGTAAATAGTTCTTCATGTCAGGAACAGATGAGAACCCAGGAGAGTGCAATCCACCGCTCCTTGGGGAGGAAGCCCTGTTTGTCCTGTCTCTGAATCTCAGCAAAGCGTTGACTTCTAGGATTGGCTCCCTTCCCAATTACAGGCTGGTCACTGCCCCGGGGTCAGACCCAAGCTGGGCACAGCAGGGCGGCTGCAGGTGCCCTGGTGCTCTCTATGCACAAAGCAATGTCTCAGGAGGGGTAACTCTGCCCTTTCAGAAGAGTCATTGGGGCGACACTGTTGCCATGGTGTGCTGAGCAAACCTCACAATGGCTTGTGAGAGCTGGGTGCGTCTGCCCCTCGGGGACCGGCAGCCACACAACCCAGTGTGATTGTTTTGGTGAGCTGGCTATCAGCTCAACCCCATCAGTGCCCCCTGGGCACCCATCTTCCCCCAACCTTGAGAAAGAGCAGATGGCGACACGCTCTGCCCGTGCCTGGGGCCCATCCATCGGGTCAAAGCCAGACAGGCTACCACCGCTCAAATCAGGACGACAGTGACACAGAAGGCTGCAGGGCCACCTTCTCCCTCTGGGGTGCAGGTCGGGTGGGCGTGTTACCTTCCACTGTGTGACACATGACCCCAAAACTAGAAGCTCAAAACAGCCGTATTTATGACCTCACTGTGTGTATAGGTCAGGGACCCTGGCCCATCTTACCAGAACCCTCACTTTGAGGCCTCAGGAGGCTGTGATGAAGGTATGGGCCAGGGTCTGACTGAGGAAGGGTCCCTGCTCACTTGAGGGCTGTAGGTCCAACACTGTTCCTGGGCAGGTGTAAATCTTTGTCAGGGCGACCCTGGCAAGAGAGCTAGGCAGAGAAGGGGCGGGAGGAACTGGGAGGGAGAGAAACCCTTCCGGGTCATGCCCAGTGACCTCTTCACCCGGGCCCTGCCTCCTAGCAGCAAGTCAGTTACAAGCCCATAATCTGATCAGCGTCCCCAAAGCCTGTCTATGAGCACATGAGGCCTGTGGGGGACATCTAGATGTGAACCACGACACCCCCAGACCCAGGAGACAGCCTGAACCTGGTCCACACACACGCGATTGTGTCACGTTTGCCATCGGGGCCCAGGGATTAGCAGATCAGCAGTCCGAACATCTCAGCCTTGAGGCAAATCAGCTGGGTACGTACTAGAACCTGTATCCACTGAGAGTCTGTACTTCTACCTGCGGGCTCTGAGGCCAGCAGCGCAATTACTGTTCTGTCCGGAGGTCCTGCCGACTCTGAGTCCAGCACAGAGCAAAGCCCTCCCCGCTGCAGCGAAGGAGGATGAAAGCCCACAGGCCAGGGGTGCAGGTCTGGCCCTTTCGGCTTCCACTCCTGAGGGAGCATCTTCTGTGCGTCCTCTTGTCCCCCTTGCCCGGTCTGAGTCTTTGTGTCAGGACTTGTCGGAGCGGCTGGAGCTCAATTAGGCACGTGGCTGCTAAAGCTCGTGCGGCAGACCTCAATGGGGCAGAGAGTAAGAGCTGACCTGGCTGCCTGGATGTGAAGGATGTACCTTGATCCAGCGAGAGATTCTGCTCCGGGCGCCCTCTGGGCTTCTCTGAGTTCTTCCCTTCAGGGGAAATGCCAAAGGCTGGTGAGTTTACTGGGGGCTCTGGACTGGGAATGCAGTGCCGCAGGCGAGCACAGAGCCGGCTTTCCCGCAGGTGCACACCTGGGCTGCTCTGTATACCTTTACTTAAAGCATTTCCCCTCTGCATTTTACATTTTTCTTTTAGGGTTTATTATTAAAACATTCCTGTGAAAATTTCTTTTGGGAGCAAGTACGGCATCTTAAACGTAGAAACTCA